TATTTCTTTCATTATTTCTTCATTTAATTGAAGAATTTTTCTCTTTTCAGATTCTACTAAATATTTATATTGCATTATTTGTGTTCATTAAGTTACAATACAATATTTCATTATCTTGAATATTATAGTTATTGACGATCGATCCTACTTTCGCTAATCATTTCTTGTAACAATCTGTCTTTCATACAATGCTCACAATTTCAAATATTATATTAGGTATAAATAACACTAATATAGTAATATGAGTAATAAATCGATTTAGACGTGTGTGCCAGAACAAGAAAAATCTGAAGGAGTGGATATATCGGGCGATTTTGATTCACTAAGCACCAAGGAACTGGCATATCACATGACACTTTTTGACTGGGAATTGTTTTGGAACGTCCATGAGGTGCAAACAATATATTATAATATTTGATTTCACAAAAAAAAAAAAAACAATTATTTAAAACCAACCAATGTAATTGTTTTGTTTAGTATGAATTGATATACTTAACGTTTGGCAGACATCGATTCCAACAAATAACAGCAAATTTGGATATATTTCTCAGACGTTTCAACGAAATCCAATATTGGGTTATAACTGAGATATGTACGTCACAAAATATATCAAAAAGAACGAATATACTGAAAAAAATGATCAAACTAGCAACATAGTAAGTGATTTATTACTTTTTTATTCGTTAACTGTCGTAAAATATGTCCAAATACAGTTGCAAATTGAAATGTATTTTTAATGATGACAACTTTACTGCTTTTCAAAAATTGATCTCTAAAAATATCACAAATGGTTGAATTAATCCCCGATATTAACATAAATAATAAATAAGCTGACAAAAAGAATTGGTATGATAATATTTTWAAAATAATTGATGTACAGCAATATAACAGCGCAATCTACTGTTTAAACATAAATACTTTTTAAACGAAAACATAATATACATTAAATTATATAATCGTTATGCCAATTGGTTTTTTATAAAATGAAAATAACGTTAACAAAAATAAATAATGTATTTCATCATATTACAATCTGTATTAAGTTTTTAAGTATATAGTGTCTGACAATATTATGTAATGACAATTTTATTTACATACAGAAAATAGGTACTGGAAATAAAACTCTACCCGAGTTTCATTCCATGTTATTTTATTTATTTTAAATGATTAATCAAGTTAGTACTTAGGGAATTCTTGAATTTGGTATAATTAAGTAAGCAGTTTACAAAATGTGATTTCGATTGTAGAACTAATATTTGAGAACGTTTCAAAGTTTCAAACATTCGAAGGGATCGAGTGTAGACATATAAACTGTCAAACATGTATTTTAAGTTACATATAATTTGTAACTTAATTATTTTAAATATTTGAGATAAAATTAGTTCTATATAGGTAGTATATATATATATATATATATAGTACTTTTGTAAATAATTTTTACTATTGAGTTTTATTGGTGAACTTATTATGATTTAATTTGGGGTTTGGAGTGGGAGCAAGAAAATCAAGACACTATTTACGTTTGTGCTGTCATTGCTGGTTTCCGCGAATGTAAGAGACTATCATTATTGGAGTTAGGAAAGTTTTGGAAGCATTTGGTAATATATCTGAATTTCTCCATGGACTTATTTAAGTATTAGGTCGATAATAGTTTAAGGTATAAATATTAGTGGGCTTATAATTAATAACTGTTTTGAGTATCTATTCAACTATTTGTAAGATTGTAATTTGAATTAGATGGGACTGAATGACAAGGCGCAAGTCTGATGGTATATAGTATTATGGATTTAGTTTGATTTATTTTTTGCCTTAGCTTTGTGTATCAGTTTTCATGAGGGAAAGATGATTTTGAAGGYGGTGAAAAGCGATAATAATGTCAGGATTAGTGGAAATTGTACCTTTGTCACCAGCGTAGCCTGGTGTGACCTGCAGCGTGTGAGGTGTAGTGGTTTGATCAGAAGCATAGATATTATAAATTAAATAGGGTAGAACTTCGCCTTAAAGAGTACTTACATATTATATATATTTAAAAAGTAAAGCTATATATTGTAACCCCCTTCATAGTTGGCAACAACTACTCAGAAAAATATTATTATTTAATCACTACTATAGTCACATGCTCACAAGATTAATCAATCATGATGCAACTTTAGGTGTTGTAGAGGATATGTGGAAGGATGTTATTAAATAATTGAAACAAAGAGTGATAGATGAACGATCATATTTTTTCCTTTCAAAGTTTTAACAGTACAATATCACGCATCTATATAGAAAAATAAAATTACAACTTCTTACAGTCCACAAAACTAATTATAGTAATTATATTAATATTATGTGAGCTATGAATTTTAAAATAAAATTTTATATACATTTATTGATATTCACACAACCGCAATATATAATTCGGTTCATCGAAGAGAATAAAATTAAGTTATATTATGAACTTATTTTATATTTTTATACTATAATTGTCACGTATAATTTGATCAGACAGTTATATAGACAATCTCTTAGAAAAACTAAAGAGCTGAGCAGCTACTCGTATACAATTACAATAAACAGTATACAGTAATAATTTTAATATTGAATAAAATATGAAAAATTAGCCATTTAAGTTCTAAAAAGCCACTTAATATTTGTTTATAACCTCGCAAAATTATGGCATTGAATTATTATCAGTCATTGTTTTCAGCTGCAAAGAGTATTATAATTTCAACGCATTCTTCGCAATCCTTATGGGACTGAGCGACGTGGCTGTCAGTCGGTTGTCGACAACTTGGGACAAGTTGCCATCCAAATCACGGAAACAGTTTACTGAATATGAGACGCTCATCGACCCGAGCCGGAATCACAGGGCTTACAGAATCACCGTGGGCAAATTACCATCTCCCATGATACCATTCATGCCCCTTCTCATCAAAGGTAGAAATCTACTAAAATATAGTATCTAACTATTCAATTACAAATATTTGGTCATATGAAGCACTAAAACACTTTATAATAATAAACACTATAATATTATTTTAGTAGTGCACTTGGCCTGTTTACCACGTCTAACTAAATACAATAAAATTATGAGAGTATACAGAACACTTTTTTTTTTTGTTAATTGTAATATTTTTATTATTCAGTACAYCTGAAAGTTGACGTAATGTGTTTAAAAAACGTATTTTATTTGCCATAATCATTATATCCACCCACATACTTGGACTGAAATAAAAAAAAACCACCAAATGTCTCACATGTGATTTTAAATAGTGGTATTTTCCCAATCATATTTTCATAATCAATTAAATATATAACTTATTTCTAGACATGAAATTCACCCATGATGGCAACAAAACGCACGTGGACGGTTTGGTTAACTTTGAAAAAATGCACATGCTGGCACAAACCATGAGGACACTTCGGTATTGCCGAGCCAGGCATTTGGGTGAGACGAGTTTTTCACTTATTAATACTGTTCTACGTCATTTATGAAATGAATCAGTGATGTAATATGTCATGATTTTTTTTTTGTTTCTTAAAATCCATTAATTATATTTAATAGGTATCGTAATTAATTTTGTTATAAAAATGCGGTATAAGTAAAATCGTTAGTTTATTTTTATCTCAAACTGTAAAGTGACTATACTGCAGTATGCATTGTGTTTTATTATAATATGTAATATGCGTTTCATTTAGATTTTTGTCTTCATGATGCATTTTTCAATTTAATTGTTTTCATGTACGGTTATGGAAAATTATTACCTTATTAAAGAAATTTAATTGTTATTAATAAATTCCGATTTTTTTTTAATAAAAACATTTAAAAAAAAACCATTATAAATCATATTTTAGTAATTAAAGCCTACAGATTAGCCAATTTATAGAATTATATYAGTAGTATTAATATCGCAGTTGAAGTTTTTACTAATTTCCATTAGATGGTTATTCAAATAACTAAAGATTCAAGATGAAAAACGCCCTTATATATATATATATATATGTATGTATATTTGTATATATTATAAATGTACCGCTAAACCACACGTCGTTCGTTCGATTGCATTTTTCAGTCTTGGACCCGCCGGTGTCGAAAAACGAAGCTGACGTCAAGTCGTACGTGAGCTGTTTGAGGTGCGTGAACAACGAACGGACGTTGATGAGCATGTCTCAGAAACTAGAACCCAGGAGAACTTAAACACTCGTCTAGTCATCTACGACTGCACCATAACCTAATAGACACACCTAATACAATATATTATATTATGATAAGTACACACATGCGTAAATTCAATGAGTATCAAGTATTTTATTTATGTWTATACGCTGCAGTACGTCATATCACAATGAGCGTTATATATAATATATTATATTTTGTTCTACATCGCATAAATTTTGTTTTTGATTTTTTTTTTTAAATTTTTGTTTCGTGTAAGTTATATTATACAATTATTCATAGGAGTAGTACGGTTAATTATCATTAACGATGCATGAATCGCCTTTCTCAAACGATAATATTATTGTTATGATTAATTATAAGTGTCTCTTTTTTTCTTTTCTTTTTCTTTTTTACCCGGATATTAGACGTGTTAATACAGGGTAAGGAGATACGTCACAGTACTGTTTTGTTTTTTCTTAAAATGTATTTCTCCGTTCTTTCCCAACATTACGTTTAATTTAAATGTATATTAAAACATATGAGACAATCAGAGAACGACGATAATCATTGATGGATGAAATTTAATAAATACGAGACGGCTGTTATTATTTATTATTTATTAGATATAATTATTATAGTTACATCGTACTTAGGTACTGATGCAAGTCTTGTTTGCAAATCGCGACAATGTTTTTGATTATAATTAGTATAAAATTAATATGATATTACTTTAATAAATTATGCATCACGGAAACACCATAGGTTCTTAGAGCTTTATAAACATAGACATATATTATTTTAGATATACGAATAGAGTGTGACAAAATTCAGTACGAATTACTGCCATGTCGAGAGACTTTTAATATCATTTTTCGAAAACTAACATCAATAATAAATTTTATAAAAAAAAAAGTTAAAAACATTATTATATTATTTTAGATAACGGATAATATAATTACTATAGTATGTTATGTCATATGAAACGTTAGTTTTTCTTTCTTCGGCATTGCTGTTAAACTGATAATTTTCACACTCTAAATATTATAAATATATATTTAAATATAATAATACATTTATAGGTACCTATAAATATTTGTAAGCATCGACTTTATGTACACTTATTCTTATCATTATTAAGATCTAGTCTATTTTAAAATTTATATAGTATACTTTTTTCAACTACAGATATTTTTTTGTGATAATAATATTATGGGTCCATTTTTCCAACTTACAATTATCTTCCGAATATTGTTTATTTGTTCGTTTGATCATTTTTTATGTGTTTCTTAAACGGCGTTTGTATTTTAATAGCTATATAGTGATTTAAATATTGTATACAATAATAATATATGAGATGAATTCGCATACAATTGAATTGATAACAGATGATAAACTGTAAAAGTAAAACCGTTTATTATTATTATTATTATTATTATTATTATTATAGCTACATAGGTGTATTTATAATAGTATGATAATTCATAGTTGGAAACAATATTTCGTAATAAACCAATAATTTGTTAATTTATTGGTATTTTTTCTATTTTTACTTGCTAATATTGTGTATTATTGATTGCTCTTTGACACTGTATAATAAGAATTCTAGTTACGTTCTAATTTCTATCTAAATTATTTTGAGGRACTTTTATTGATAGAACTACATCATTGTTAAGTTAACCATCACTTTTTGCCTTCAAAATTTCACATTACATTATAGTATATCTTCGTACAGTATACTATTAAATGTGCAAATTTTTATAATTTTGATTATTAACTATTTTTTTAGATGTTGCRTTATTTAAATTTTAAATTTTTTCCATATTTCTTTATAATTTCTATTTAATTTTTGTTAAAATGTAAACGATATTATATAATATGTGTTCTAAAACAAATATAAAAAAAAATTATACATTTTTGTGGTTGTTTTTATTTAATAAAAGTCTAATGTCTATGCATATATAGAAATTATATTATACTAATTAAATGCTGAGAACATCATTGATAAAGTTATTGCTCAGAATCCATAGAATCATTTTCAAAATGAAAGCAAAATCWGCTTAAGTGGCTAGAGAGTAAGTTATGTTACAGGCAAAATCTTGTCACCTTGTATTGTTCACGATTTACTTAAGTTGTGATAATAAAATAAACGTCAGTCATGGCCTTCAATTGAATATTTTAACCTACTTGTGCAAAAACTAGTATCTATAGAAAATATTGTCAATAAAGAACTCGTTAAAAAACACTATCACTTAAAAAATAAACACAGTATAGGTACTCTAATTCATGAAAACATTAAACATTCATTTTTTTCTGTCTCGTAAAAATCGTAAAATACTCAAAAATACAATACAAGTATTTAATTATATTTTATAATTATTTGAGTTATGTACTAAGTTATGTGTGTAATAACTAATAAGTGTTTATAATATATAATATTTTAAGCTGATAACTTATGAAATTTTAAAAATAAACACTGACACTTTGTAAGTAACATATTTTATAGTCACACATTCAAGTCACAAAGACATGATTAAGCCATATTTTTTTAAATTTTATACCACTAATATGATTGTAAAATGTTTGGACTAGTCATCCTGAAACAATTTTTATTATGAATTTAAATTTTAAATCTATGATAATTATGCATGTATGTAAACATAATAAATGTTAGAAAAAGTCGCAGTTAATATTATTTTTTTTACGCTTTAAGATCCGTGTTAAGTAAATAGTACCTACATATCTGTGTGAGTCGCAGGTAAACTCACTATAGTATGTCGTTGATGACTGTGACTACAATAATGTACAAAATACAGTATATTTTTGTAAATGTTGATGAAATAATGGAAAACTTAGGTAACATAGTTAGGTTCAATCAATTTAAATGAATGTATTAATAATTAACAAACAATGTATACTTAACACTCAGAAGGTGAACCTTCATTACGCTTATTTGATAATTAAATATAATATACAAATATTAAGTAACTTAGTTAAAACAAAGTTGATTATTTTCTTATATTTACAAAACGAGCAAAACACATAATATATAATGGTTGTRTAGGTTTAAATTGTTTAATAATAACTAGGCATTCAATTTGTTAAAAATACATCATAATACTATTATTTATTCATTCTTATAGCGCACTAGCTGTTGAGGTAAGCAATCACATTTTTAAATCAAACAATTTTATCCTATTTGTTTATTTTCGTTTTAATTAATTTTATTTACAGCGTGAATAACCATACAATAATTAATTAAATAGTCTTAACTATACTTACAAGTTTGTTTAAGCTTTATTTTAATTTAAAATATAATTTTATAAATTAATTAGAAATAGCTGAATTTATTGTTATAATTGAATCGACTAAACTTTTTATATTTTACAACTTCCAGTACAWACTATTAATCTATTGAATATAATATACGTTACTCRTTCAGTTATTAATGTAATCAGAAAATTTAACGTTTAACTAGTTAATGCCCACATTTTATTTTTGTCATTGCAATAGTTAATTAAATTCATATTTAAAGGGCCTTGCTACGGCTACGGCCATTATTTAAGTGTCAACATTTCAGAAATTTAAAATCTCGTGTTAGCCACTTGGAATCTATGTGTTAGTTGATGTAAAATTTACATAGATATAATAATATTATAATACTAGATTATATCGGCACAACTTAACAGATTATGTTCAAAGTTGAATATAATATTGTTAGTTTTTGTTGTTACTGTCTCCGTACGACCGTATTCCGTAGTAGACGTTTGTGCTCTTTTTAATTTTTCGTGTGTTACATTGTCGAAATATGGCTCCGAAAAGAAAGTATGACGATGGATACATAAAATTTGGATTTATCGCAATCGAAACTAACCGTGAAATTCGACAGCAGTGTGAAATATGTGCCACCGTTCTCAGTAATGATAAGTTGAAACCCGCCAAGTTCGAGCGACATTTAAAAAAGTGTCCATCCTAAATTAAGTGATCGACCACCAGAGTTTTTTATGGGTAAATCAAAAAATTTAAAAAAAATTATACTAGGAACAATTGGTTCAAGATTTGAGTCAAACGAAAAGTTCTATCTGCGTCATTTAAAATTTCACWATTAATCGTAAAATCAAAGAAACCACACACAATTGGTGAAAATTTATTAAAACCGTTTACTAACTACCGTAGAGGAAATTTTAGGTGCAGGAGCTAAAAAAACAATTATAAGCATTATTAAAAGCCTCTTATAAAGAATTTCATTGTATTTTATTTTATTAAAAAAATGATTATTATTCATATAAAAATAATCAAAGTTCTAAAATCTGTGAAAAAAATTAATTCTTATTTGTAAGAAAAATAAGGTATAAAATTTAGGTGGTCCGTGACGTATCGAAAGTTCTCCTAGTGGTCCGTAGTACCAAAAAGGTTGGGAACCACTAAATTGTAAATTATCATTAGTGTGAGTGTACGAGATTCAAAGCGAAAACTACTGTTGTACGCACGTGCACCTGTCATTAACTCGGTAACAATATAAAATTCACTATACGAATTTCACGACAACTTTGTCACTAATTATTTTGACAAGTTGAAGTTAGTTAACGTTGTCTGATATTAGTTCTGAACATATATTTGAATTAAGCAGAAAAATGTCAGTACACACTATATACCTATAACACTTCTATTTTTAATTTTAATTATGATTTGAAAAAGTTAATTTTTTCAAATTTTTATTACAGTTTACAATTGTATGAGATTTAATTTTTTCAATATGTTCCGTACGTTCTATAAATAATGTTCTGCTRAATTTGAATTGTTTTAAGAATAAAAATCAGTCTATGTAAACTAACTTTAATTTTATCAAAATGTTGTGCTAAAATTGATGACAGTAGCGAGGTTCTATGTAATAATTCTTGACAACAGTGCATTGTTAAAATATGTGTATAATATATATTTTCAAATAAACTYGAAGTAAGGTATAATAAGAATCAGACAGAAATCTGATGATATTTATTGACTCTAACGACAATAATGGATTACTGAATAACTTTTTAATGTTTAAACAAAAATACAAATATAGTAAGTTTTTTTAAACAAATTAACAAATGTGAATCTATCCTGGATACATCAACATTTCTTAGAAGTTTACCGAACTCATTTTCAACACTGATTTTACCTTATGGTACAGATCAAGTTTTATATTATTATTATGACCAACTTGGTTTTATTATATCATAATTACATTAAAATATATGAGGATGTATTTTAATGAATATAATATATTAAAATTCCACTGTATTATGTGTGTGCAATAACATACCATGTTGCAAGAAGAGTTTTTTTATTTGTATCTTTCCAATGGATAATATTTCACGACTATTCGAATACTCCAGGATGTGTAATGTGTCAATAATGCGTTGTTATTATTTTATTATAATTTATCATCATATAATACAAATGTCAAATGATTATTACATTCACAAATTCATTTTATATTATCATAGAAATAAATTGTATAAGTGATTAGTACAACGGATATTGCACCATGTGCATATATCGTAGCTCGTGAATAAAAGCTCTGCACCTATCGACTTATCATGTTATTAATGTATCTGTGTATGGAAATAGTATAATAAAATGAAAGCAACCATTATAGTGCATACATTTTACATAATACAATAAACTAGATGGTTTGCTGGTTTTTTCTCCACCAATAGCATTTTATTTTTTTAAATATTTCTGTAAATAAATGATCCAATTATTTTAGTAATTTTCATAACTTAAAACACGAAACTGTACTTATACCTGTTATAAATATAACATTCCAATGAGGTAAAATGTGTTTTCGAACTACTTGACATGACCAGCYAATAATTTTAATTAAAATATACTATTACTATAGGTATATATTATTATTATTCAATTCTGATAGGTACCTAATATTCAAGAGATGTTCATAWTTTATTTTTTGAATGTTGACGTCTGAACAGAAAACGGGGTGTAGAATAACAAATAAATGTTGGAATACAATATTATGTTATGTTTAGTACTATAGAATACCTAATCAGATACCAAGAAGCCAAATTTAATATGGCGACTCACCCCGTACGCCTGTTAACGTGTAACGTTATTATTACAGCAGCAGCTGCMGTATATCAATGCRATGTCGATGTCGGAAGCCAAAGTGAAATTTCAATTGAAATAATAATATTATTATATACATTTTGACGTTTGTGTCGGCAAAACAGGATCTAATCGCAACTTTTCGTGACTATCCATYGTATGGTATACTATTTTAGATATCCCGTCATCGCATGATATCGTCGATGATGTAACATCATCGACTACAATATATTATTAAATATTCGTCGACGCTGATGTCAAGCGATGACACAAAAGTTAAGATAGTATTTACTG